GACATATCCTTGGCGATATCTTGGACTTTCTCTCTAGCTAGTTCTTTCATCAAAGGATCAGGTAGATTCTATTCGGAACTTGCATGATCCAATCTTAGGATTTCTCTCACAGAACAATGCTTACGGCGAATTTTTCATCTCTTACCGTTGTAATAACGTTTCCCAACCTTTGTGATAGCCGCACTACTATCATTGCAGATCAATACCAGATGGACTGTTTTTTTCCATAGCAGAATCTCTCCTAACAATCTTCTCAACCAACTCACTTCTTCACTAGCCATTGCTATCGCTATCATTTTTTATTACATAGTTGATTGAGCTAGGATTGTTTGCTTCTTTGACTTCCTAGACACAACTCCTCCAACGATGTTAAAAACATACCCATTGGTTTTCTTTGAGTCATCTAATAGGGTATTCCAATATGCATCACTATACCATTCTAATACAACAAGATACTTTTGATAATATATACCAAGGTTCTTTGTTCTCTTAAGGTATCTCATGACCCTTTCTATAGAATTCCAATGCTCCATGCTATGTCAGCTATTAAATCTGCCAAGCAATCCTACAAAATATGCAATGTCAGGTCTGGTGTAATCCACTGCATATCACTTACTACCAATGATTCTAGCAATATTTATATAGCCTCTAGTGTACTTAAATAGCTTTATACTTGCATCATATAGAGTACACTCTGGCTTATAGTCAAAGTTGCTATACTAGATTGATCTAAAGAAAAATCCTTTGTTGTTCTAGTTATCTGGATTCAAAGCATATCCGTAATTCACCCAAATCTTTCACATCAAAGTTGTCATACGACATGGTTTTCACATCATTGACCATGTGAATATCTGAACCAAATATCAGCATGTCATCCACATACAACATATGACAATGCAAGTGTTATTTTCTAATTTGTAATAAATACACTTGGCATTTTCATTCACTTCAAAACCAGGCAAGAGAACAAGAGTATCAAATTTTTTATGCCACTGTTTTGGAGCCTGTTTTAAACCATGCAATGACTTGTCTAACTTAAAGACTTAGATGCATGTTTAGGAATAACTAACCCTTCATGCTTTTCCATACAGATTTTATCATCTGAATCACCATTCAAAAAAGTAGTTTTAACATCCATATGATGTACAACGAGGTTGTTCAAAGCAACAAGTGCAATCATCACACGAATGGATGTTATTCTAGATATTGGTGGATAGTATCAAAGAAATCTTCATTTTCACTTTGTCTATAGCCTTTAACTCTATGAGAGCCTTAAACTTATCAACTAAAGCATCTGGTTGCAGTTTCGTTTTAAGAATCCATCTATTACCTAAGGCGTTGCAACCAGGAGATAAGCCTACAAGATTCCAAGTCTTATTCAAAACTAGATAATCCATTTCGTCATTAATGGCTTCTGCCCATAAATTTGCATCGATGGAAGTCAGAGCTTCCTGCTGAGTTATAGGATCTTCTAGGGTGTTTTTAAAATCTTAACCAAAATCTTTAGGGGTCGTTTGGATAAATTAATTGTTATTGTGGTATTTGTAGAGTCAAATAACTCATTAATTGTTATGTGGTATTTCAGTGTTATTTCAGCAGTATTGGATTAAACTAATCTCATTTGGTAAAACCATGCACATTTGGTATTTGAAAAAAAACAAAGGGGTAAAATGAGTTATTTCGGAATAACACAGGGGTATGAATTATTTCGATTTTCAAATAACTTGTTTTGATTTATTTGTAAATAACTCACGGCCAAATAACTCATTCAGTAAAATGCTGCCAAACGAGTTATTTGGGTCTAATTAACTCATCGTGAGTTATTTGATCCCAAATAACTCACTCAAATACTCCATCCAAATGACCCTTATGATTTTAGCCCTTTTACTCCTTTGAGCTCCGACTTAGATCCAACACCCCAATTGTTCTGTTGTCTCTAATAGCAGGTAAGTCATTACCCCCACTATTTCTCATTTTAATGGAAATAGAGTTTCAAAACAATAGGTATCAATGAATTCCACTACAACATGAGCATTTAAATCATCGAATCTATATGCATTACTATTGGCAGCATAGCCAATAAATACACATTCATATATGTTCGACATGCCAGTTTAATCCTCTTAGGATATGAAATTCCTACATAGGCCAAACAGCTCCACGTTCTTAAATAGGACATATTAGGTGGTATATACTTCAAAATCTCTTAGGGTGACTCCTTACTATTCATTTTGGAATTCAATTAAGCACATAACAAACAGTCAACAAAATATCACCGCACCAAGAAGATGCAGAACCATTATTAAGCATAATAGCCACAACTAATTCTATAAATGTCATATTTTCTCTCAATTTTATCATTCATATCAGGCATTTAAGGTGCATTAGTTTCATGAATGATACCATGTGAGCTATAGAATTCAATTACGGGATTAGAGTCATGCTATGGTCCTCTATCACTTCTAAGTCGTTTGACTTTTCCATTGCAATGAGTTTCAAATTCTTCCACAAATACCTTGAGCATATCAAGGGCATCACTTTTGTTTTTCATCAAATAAATAAAAGTATAATCAGAGCAATTTTTATAAATGTGATAAATTATGTCTTGTCATTCCTAGTTAACATTCCATCTAATTCAAAAATAGCATAGTGAATTAAATCGAGCGGTTTTAATTCTCTAATCACATATTTATGGGAAATTTTCATTACCTTAGCTTGGCTACACAAATTACATTTATTAAATTCATCAAAAGACATTTTAGGGATGTGTCCTAAGTTGCTCAAAATTTTCACAATTCATTTGTTCACGGGGCATAAACGAGTGTGCCAAGTATTAATAACACACAATATGTAAACAGTAGAATCCATCTTATTCACTTCAATATTCAGTTTGAATATCCCATCACATGCATACCCTTTTCCCAAAAAATTCTCATTCTTAGTAAGGGTATATATATACGCTCCTATAGCTTAATTAAACTCAGTCTTATTAAGAAGATAACCCAAAATATTCTTCCTTATCTTTGGATTGTTCAAGAATTCTTGTAGCGCAAGCGACTTGCCAGAGGTAAAGTTCAGCTCCCCGCTCCCATAACCAGCAACTATAGTGGTGTGGGCAGTCTGTAAGAAACTCGCTTCTTAAGATAACTTGCGATTAACACAACTTGATAGATAATAAAGGATTTAGGGATTGAGAATATGAATTAGGGATTTGAGATTGAAAATTGGGGGTCAAGGATTAAAGAAAGAATTGGGAAAGAACGGAAAGAACATGTTGATGGCCTTTTAGGGAGAGATAGACGAGAATTCAGAGGATTTGGGAGAATAGGGTTTTGAGTGAGAGGTTTATAATATTCTTTTTTGATTAGTATTAACAAAAGAACCCGCATACATAGGTAATATTATAAATCCTAATAATAAACCTAAACTTAACAACCAAGTAACTGATATCTTCTCATAATTATCCATAAAATGAAAATAATAATAAACATGATAATAATGACAAAACCTGGTTTCTAATAATCCCCACCGCTTTAGAGCAACCTTGACCTCGAGGTTGCAGCTAACTTCATGATCTTCTCCTGCCATTGTATCAATTCCTTGATGTAGGTTCAAAAAGTGCTTACGCTTCCTCCTCTTCCAATTACGCTATGCCATTTGAAACAGAGTTCTAGCACACACAACTCTTTCATCTGTCGAATTCTCATATATATCGTAACTATTATCATTGAAACATGCACCCGGGGGTATTCGTCCTTTCTTATTGACCCAACAAATTATGACCAAATAAACACTCCTCATTGTGCCCTCTATCACGAAAAACACATTTTAGGTCTTCAAAATGGTGCTCCATAGAACCGCACTCGTTTTTGTACAACTAAGCCACCACTCCACATGAAAGCCCCCTTTAGCTTTCTGTTCCAAGCATGCCATAACAAAGGTACCAGCCTTATGCATGCGCCCACTCCCACTGATAATCACATTGTCAGGTAGAACAACATGTTCCATCTCCATCGACCAAAGATGACTCTTTGAAAGCTGAAGGGTGATTGATAACGTTAGCGCCAGATCCGATGTTATGTTCGGTCACCATAACAGTAGCCGAACGTCTTAATATTGTTAGAAATCGAACAAACACAATAGGGTTACCGAATCGAGCTGAGTTGCGGATTAGGTTGCTCTCTTTAAGGCGTTTGTGGCACTGTCTAGTATTTTGCACAGCAGTTTATCAACTAGTCGCCTCCAAGATAAAAATACCCACTTGTATACTCTCGGTTTGTGCGGAATCGGGGTTCTATGAATATCACTCTCTTCTATGTTTTTGTTATTCATGTTTTTCGTAATTTTGGGGGTCCGAGGAATCATCCATTCATAGTGGGGGCTATGATTTCCCGCTTCATAATAGGTGTGGCTAATATATTGTATTTACCCATTTATTTATGTTTTGAAAATCAAAGTCCGAATTTCCATTTAAATGAACTATAGTAGCAAATCATAACTTGTAAGGCTATATGATTAGCGTATAAAGTAAGCGGTTAGGGTATAAGGTATATGATTTAGGGTATATGTTTAGGGTATAGCAAATATCCCTTTGTATTCTATGTTTTGAAAATCAAAGTCTGAATTTCACTTTAAATTAACTATAGCAACAAAATTGTAACTCATAATGATATATGGTTAGGGTATTAGGTTATATGGTTTAGAATATATAGTTAGGGTATACCAAATATCAATTTTTTAATCTATGTTCTGCAAATCAAAATATGATTTTCACTTTAAATTAACTATAGTAGCAAAATCATGACTCATAAGAATATATGGTTAGGGTATAAGGTATATGGTATATGTTTAGGGTATAACAAAGATCTCTTTTTAATATATGTTTTGAAAATCTAAGTCTGCAATTCACTTTCAATGAACTATAGTAGCAAATCATAACTCGTAAGGCCATATGGTTAGGGTATAAGTCTATAAGGTATATGGTTTAGGTTATATCAAATATCGCTTTTTAATCTATATTTTGAAAATCAAAGTCTGAATTTCACTTTAAATTAACTATAGCAGCAAAATCTTAACTTATAATGATATATGGTTAGGGTATTAGTGTATATGGTTTAGGGTATAGGGTATATGGTTAGTGTATACCAAATACCACTTTTTAATCTATGTTCTAAAAATCAAAATGTGATTTTCACTTTAAATTAACTATAGTAGCAATTTTGATTTCTCCCCAACAAGTTCACTAACATTAAGATAAATAAAAATATAAGTTTTGAAAACCCCAAATGTATAATTAAAGTCCACGACACCACTTTCCCACACAAGTTAGATTTCTCCCCACTTTCCCCTCCCCAATTTAGATTTCCTTCCAAAAGTTTTCTCATTTCCTCCTCCCTCAAATTTAGATTTCCTCCACCCCATAATTTTATTTATATATTTTTATGTACACTATATAATTTGTGGTTGGATTAGTACTATTGGATGAAAAAATAAAAATGTTTATATCAATAACTATAAACTAGTGTGCTATACAGATTTACGATTAATTACATGACAAGTTTGCAAGTCATACAACATGATTCAATTTTTTTTAACTTCAATAACTACATATAACATATTACATATACGATGTGGAAAGAAATAGTCTAAAACTTATGAATTTTTGTTAAAAAAATAGGTTAATAAAATGGAAAAATTGCAGTTACGAGTAGGAAGTAAGTAACTTAATGCGCTGACCCAAAAACCCGCAACCCGCCCGCCCCACAACCCAATTGACCCGTAACTCGACTAACTCGGAACCTGATTGACCCGTAGCCCGACTAAGCCACAACCCGACTAACCTGCAACCCGACTAACCCGAACCCGACGAACTCGCAAGCTGATGAACCCGAAACCCTACTAACCCATAACGAGATTGAATTCAACCAGAACCTGCCCAATTGACACCTCTAATTGTGTTGTCGGGTCAACCGTCATGACTGGGTCAAGGCTGGTTTGACTTAAACTGGCGAACTCTCCAACGGGTGTTTGAAACCCGTTCTAGCATTGGTAATGAAACTCACTTGCTTCTTGGGGGTACTTGTCTCCTGCATCGCTTGCCAATCCGCAATTTCATGATCAGTGCTCGAACACCAATCACAAGACATCATCGATCTCTTCCCTTGCTTATTGTCCTCAAGGATCACCTCGATCAACTTGTCAAGCTTCGCTTCAAGTGGAGCACTTTCTCCCACAATTCACACTCCTCTTTCAGTGCTGCTCTTCCCACTTCTTGTCAAGCCCCAATCATATCCTTTGAGATCCATATCTTCGATCAACTCGGGCACTTGAGCTGCGGTCATGTTCATCAACTTCCCTTGGCAAAGAGAGTCTATTAGGATCTTATCATCTTGAATGAGTCCTCCATAGAAAGTCTCTATCCGAAATTGCTCATCGAATCCATGGTGAGGGCATTGAAGGAAGTAGTCGGAGAATCTTTCTCATGCATCCCTCAATGTCTAATCCTCCTCTAGCTCGAAGTGAGTGATCTTTTTTCTCCATTCGGGCGTCATGGAAGGAGGACAATATCGGGTCATGAACTTGTTGAGTAAATCGTCCCAAGAAATGATGGATAGAGCTGGACGGTTGTTGAGCCATCGGAGTGCCTTTCCCTCCAAAGAATAGGGGAAGAGCCTCAATCGCAATGCCTCCTCAGGAACACCGTTTATCTTCAAGCTTCTCGCTAGCTCAAGAAACCGTTGGACATGCTCTCGTGGTGATTCATTGGCAAGCCCATGAAAGTAGGCGTTGTTTTGAACTATCGTAACAAGAGCGGGCTTGATTTCATAGTTTTTGGCGGGCACGGATGGATGTAAGATGGGAGATTGGATATCCGCCGCCCGTGGAGCCATGTAATAGCCCATAGTCCTTGGCTCTTCCTCGGCTCCCGCTTCCACATTTGGGATTGGGAAGGGTTTAGCCCCTCGGTGTTGATTACCCGCCATCTCAACTTCAACTTATCCTTCAATTCCTTCAAATCCCGGACCAACTTGTTATCCCCTCTCTTCAATTCTCCTTCTTGCCTCCGCTTGCTCCATCTCTCGATCTAGAAGTCATAGAGTCTGGTTGATGTCCTCGTCCAGTGGTGTTAAAGGCACCTGATTGCTTTGAATCATGCACCTCCCTACACACACTTAAAGAACACAACACTTCTAGCACAAGCAAACTTCACACTTAATGACACTGAAAGTAAAAGCTATATTAACACCAAACAAACTTTTCACGATAACGAATCGAAGTTCCCCGGCAACGGCGCCAAAAACTTGACTCGCTTTGACTATCACAATAAAATCCCACCTAAGGTCCAAGTATAAACCTTAGATGGATGCAATATAGGGAAACTTGTTTAAATATCGACCAGGGCCGACCCATGTACCGCTACTTTGACTGTTTGAAACATTATCTAGCGGATAGTTTTGGTTAAAACGAAGATCTAAAACTAAAGTTTGCAAAGATGAAATGGTTTTGACACTAAATGAGAAGGCTTCACCGGGGTGTTGCTCCCCCTAGCTAACAATTATGACTTGAAGGATCGAATGACCGTGTGTGGTTAGGGTTGTGGTTCCAGTTCACGATCCTGGATACTGTGAACTCCAATGGCAGGTCGTGAACACAGGCTGTCTCCTACTCTTTGCCCGGTCTTTGCTCCTTTTTTTCAACTTTCGACTCTGGGGTTGGTGTCACCTGAAACACAAAAAACCTAGCATAAAACTACCCCTTTTGGAGCTTAATTGCAACAAACGTAAAAAAGAAACGGGGATAAAAAGTATACAATTAGGCACAAATCAATGACCATGAATAAAATCAATGACCATGAATAGAACGACAGTGACTCGGCTCATCTCACAATAACTATAAGGATGTTCTCTTTCGGAACCCCCTTCATTCCAATTTTCCTTGATTCTGCGCAGTCCTCGGCAGGGCCTTTTGGAATTTAGTATAAGGGGTTTACTACGTGATTTGAGTATATTTAATACCAAGCCTTAGTAATTATAATTGTACTGAAAATCTAATCCCCTTCCTTTCAGGTTTTCTTCCGTCCAACTTCCAAGCTAGCGCTAGGTATTCTAATTAAGTAATTACTGGCTTTTTACCCGGCCCGTTGGCCGGAGAGTTTCATTTTATTGTTGACATTAATTCAATTTATCTATATGTTTAAACTATTTTAGATCTTCTAAATTTATTATATTTTGTATTAATAAGTGAGTATGTGGTGTGTCTATATATTGAAAATTCTCAATACTTAGTACATTCACTTAAAATGTTTGAATTCTCTAATAATAAACCATGTCACAAAGGTATACCACGTCCCATGTACAAATTTTTTTATCTTATATGAATCCATGTTGTTCAGATGAGGACATCTTAGTTAGAGTTTCTTTGTACATATACTTCATTATTGGATAAATTTCTACATCCCAATTAAAAGTTGACACTTTGGATGTTCATGAAGTTTTTTGTAAGATCTTATTTGTATTTAATCTCTTATACAATATGTATCAATTGCTAATTTTTTAAATTTAATTTGGACTAATTGAGACTCATTGTCGTTGTTTATACATTATTTTAGAATCTCAATCGAAGATACTCACATACGGATTTTGATCTTAATATGGTGCGTTAGTGTATAATTTTACAACTTGTAGAACCTTCGTTTTCTAAAATTTATTTATGTTTGGTATTAGTTTAGAAATAAAAATTTCATTAATTATACTAATATATGCATTTTTCTGTATTGCCACATTTATTGTCAATATATAAGCATATATATTAAAAAGAGTTTAATTATTTTAAGTGTAATTAATACTTGTTTTTTATTGGGATTTGTAAAATGTTAAGAAAATAAAGGGAAATATGAACAATTGTAAAAGAAAATAAGGGATGGAAGGACACATTATAAGTGAGAGAAAAGTTATTCTTACTTATCATTTTCATTTATCTAATGAGGTTATTTATTCTTGCTCCATTGAAATTTTATCAAATTATTTTATTCTGTAAATATATTATTAGTTATGCATGTGTTTTATTGCAAATTAATGTATGTGTTTGCTAAGAAAGATCATATCTCTTACGATGATCAACTTCTCTAATCTTGCCTCATTTTCATGTGAATTTTCATGAAGTCTCCTAACGATTTTATGTTAACATATGTCTATCAAGAGACCCAAATTTAGTATATTATATAACAGAGTAAATACATTTTATTAATCAAATATTTCAAAAAAATTCAAAATACAAAGTAAAATACAATGTTGACTCAACAACATGATGATGAGTTGGAAGAGACACATGACTGTATATAATCCAATTTAGTATTTTAATTAAAAAAGAGTTACAAAATTATTAATGATAACAAAAAAAATGGTTAATATTTTGATGTGATACAAAATATTTGGCTAATCATTTATAGTTTGAAAGGTTTGGCTAATAATTTAAAAAAACTGAAAGGTTTAGCTATTTAAATGTTATTTAATCAATATGTATCAATTGCTAAGCTGTCTCCTCCCACATTTTGCCACGGCCACTACTGAATATCTATACCAGATCTGCTCTGTCCAATCCTCACCTTTGTCCACCAATTCACGGCCCATATAGTAACATCGCTAGCTGAATTTTAAATTGTCCTCATGCACCATTTCTCACAGGCGCCACCAAATTGTGGACATTGTTAGTTTCGTCTAACCGGGTATTTCCACTCTCTATTGCATTTAACACTCGTTATTTGGTTTGCTTTCCTTCACTCAAAATTTCTCCTCCTAACGACAAATCAAAAGGTAATGGCCTAACACCTACTTAGCATATGACGTAAACTGAAAATTTACTTAATAAGATTTATTCAAATATTTTTGTTTAAACAATCGCGATACATGTCAGCCTAACATTAGTATACTGTTGCTGCACATATATACTACAAAAGGTACAAATGAATTATTAAATAAAAACAAAAGAAAACATTAAATGAAGATAGAGATGTGGTTGATGAACACATGATGTTTAACATACAGTTTAGCAAAGATTCATTTAACTTTCACATGTATCATTTTTTAACGTATCTCATGTCTCATCTTAAGATATGAAGTCAAGTTCATCAACAATCATACCGAAGTCATTTTAAAATTTTTTATTTATAATCCTTGAAAATTTATTACTCCAAGTATGAAAATTAAATTTATTAACATATGACGTAAAACTTCAGTAGAGTTTGCTCAATTAACACGATATAGAGCAAAAAATGCAAAATATTAGTAATTTGAACTTAGGATACATTGTAAATTATTGCACCTATGATTCATATGTTTTCACTTAATTAGAATGAATAAGGTTTTTTTTTAAGAAATAGATTTTATTGCTTGGTCAAGTTTCTATTCAAACCTTTTTTGTTTTCTCTCTTTAATTTCCATAGTTATTTTGTCGCGATAAAATGTTATTATGTATGTGTATTTGTATAAATTGTTCATCAAAATGTAACATATTTCTAAATTATTGTAAAAGTGAGTTAAAAATTTACTTAGTGAGCTTTAATAAGATATTTTTTTGGTTGAGAAAAAAGTTACATGTGTGACTCAAAGACATTAGTCTATTGTTGTGTACATCGATACAATGCAAAAGTAGAAACAAAAACATAAAGGAAGTATTGGAAAAGAAAAATAAATATAAAAAAAGTTAGAGATAAAAAAGGTAATATATGTCACTTTTCATACATTATTATTATTGTGTACATTGATATAATACAAAAAAAAAGATAAAAGGGAAATGAAATATTTTTTTTTTGTAGAAGGAAAATGAAATATTAATTGAAGAGAGAGATAACTCCATAAATATATCAATAACTATTTTTCTTTTTGTAAAAATATTGTCCACCTTGGCAATTTGTGAACTCTCCAAGTGCTTAGGTGGCAAACAATTACTTTTGAATTGCCATAATATTATGTATAGATAGATTATTATAACAATATATTACACTCCATGGAAGCGACAACCAGGAGCAAGTAGCCACAAATTTAAATAAACCAAAGTATTAAGAGTAAATACTAATTATCGCTAATAACTGTGTAACTCCTTTCTTAGTTAAGATACTAAATTTTTTGGAATTTTGACATCCACGTGTCTCTTCCAAGTTCCAAATCAGTATCATGTTGCCAAATCAATATTACTAACAAACTTGCTAACTGGAAGATAACATTTGACTAATTATTAGCAATTCAATAAATTTGGCTAATAAAATAGAATTTGAGAAATGTTTGGCTAATAATTAGTGTTCTATTGTGTTGTAGACAAGACAAAATGAACGTTCAAGAGAACATATGAAAACGTAAAATTCAATAAATTCATATCATCTATGTACATCGTGGCAATACCAGCTTACATGTATAGCTTTTGATTTTTCAATTGCATGATCTACTAAAGTTCTAAGCTTTAGTTCAAGTATAGAAAAATGTGTTTTGAAGACAACTTTATGAAAAAAACCATTACTCAATTCAACAAGATTCTTGCTAAGCTATCGATGTTATGTTCAGCAGAGCCATTTCATTCTTCTCTGTCTCTAAAGCTCAAGTTACATAAACATTCCTACTTTATTAGTTTAGTAGTACTTGAGTTGTTAATGTTCATTTATTGGTGATTAGTCAGCATTATCGGTGAAAAAACTATTCTCTTCAATTAAAGCTACTTAAAAAAAAAAAGGGTAAATTAGAGCTACCTTCATATAACCTAAATTTGATATTCATGATTGAATGTCACTCAAGGTGCATTATTAAATGCAGGAATGGATTATTTACCAAAAAAAGAATGTAGTTGAAGTTCATATTAAGTTTAGTGATTAACTTATCATAACATCACAAATGTCATAACCGAATTAATAGTTTTGAAGATTATAAATGATGGCAAAAAATAATCTCCAACAACATTTGTGATTAGGATGAGGTAAACAAACATTTGTGATTAGGATGAGGTCAGCTGTTTTGCCGTGAAAATGATATTTCATATATGATTGTGTTTTATTTGTTGAATTTGCTTCACAAAAAATGCGAAAAAATGCACCTTGATAATAGAGATAGTGAAGTTGATGATGGATATTTTTTACTGTAAAAAGGTACTGATATTGGTCATTTTGAAATATATATATAATATTGTGTCATTAAGTTTATAATGGGTTGATATACCCTTGCATAAGTCATATCTTTTTAATTCCAACAAGAATGTGCATAGAAAGCACCAATGACAACATTAAGTTTATGATGGATGCTAATTTTATATTTACTAAACAATTTAAATTTGAAGTTTTGTTAATTATTGTTATCGTATGGTAGCCGGCCAACGGGCCGAGCTACTATCTAGTACTAGTAATAATAGTAAAACAACAAATTTGGCCGAACATATTTTTGAACTCTTCTAAAAGAAATAAAAGAAAAATCAGATAAAACTGTGCGCGCTATGAAAATGACCAAATGAGGCAAGTTTATTGCTGATTAACATTTCGTGTGGGGTAGCGTTCTGCAGGAGCCAGGAGCAAGTGAGCGAGCGAGAGAGAGAGAGATTTGAATTTTCCTATAAATTAGCTTCAAAGGGAACAGTCGAGAAGGAGGAGAAGTAAGAGAGAGGAAACAGCGAGCGAAAATTTGAAAGACCATCAGTAGCAGCTACCAAGCCAAGGAAAGGAAAGGAGATGCGGAGCGCTAAGAATGCCTCGCGGAAGAAGATTTCTCTGGAGCGATACATGGAGTTCATCCTCTCCCATCCCCGAATCGTTCTCCCTGTCCCTGATCTCAACCAGGTCCGGCGCATTCCTATCTAGCTATTTTCTTCCCTTTTCGTCCCAAAAACACGTTCTAAAAGTTGCGATTTCTGATTGCATTTTCGTCTCTGCGTTCCTCTGTTACAGATCGTTAGCTTGCACGGTTTCAGGAAAGTAACAGAACATCCCAAGGTAAAACGTGTCCCGTTCTCGTCTCCGTTGCCTTATTATTGGTTGCTACTGCCTGAGAAAACGGAGAACGATGAAGATCTATTTTACAATTTTCGGTCTGCTGTCCACTTCGTTCGTTGCTTCTGAGTTCTCTCCAGTTTCTGGCTCTCTCATTTTTTCTGTGCCGATGCTTGCTTGTGCGTTTCTTTCTGTTCGGCACCACGGAAAACTTTGGTTACGAGTTTCGTTTTTATGGATTGATGCTGCATCGCCTTGGTCGCCTGGAAACGGTTTCCGTTTCTGTTTTAGGCAATTTATTGTTACTGGCATATGTATTTCTGCTACAAGATCCATCCGTCCTTCCTCTATTACTTGGAAATTTTCACGGTAACCAAACAACCCCGTCTTTACTTGTTAAACGTTTCGTCTCTGCAATTCCAGAAAAATCTCACCCAAGCATTGAAGGAACTGGATCTGATGGACCTCTCCCGCTCCACCATACACCACGGCTCTGGGATATTCCCGTCCGCGTCCATCACTCTGGAAGATTTAGTCGACGACCTCGACAAGTTGAACTGGCAAGAATGCCGCGTCACCTCTGTCCAAACCTTCCACTCTTCCAAAGGAGGCAGCGCTTCAACAGGACCAGCCGACTCTCGTCCGCAATCCGTTTCAATTGTACCCGCCTCAACACTCAACTCCAATGGCGACTTCCCTGCCCGTCTCTCCGCCACCGGAGTGGCAGAATCCAAGAAACAATCGGCCGTTGCTGCTAAGAGCTCCGGTTGCCTTGGTGCGGCGTCTAAGTCGCCTACTGCGTCTGAGATCTCCAGACCAGCTGAATCGGAGGTGCAATCTGCTGCTGCTGCTACCCGCAAGAGGAAGAGTTTAGATGAGATGCTACGGCGTCTGCCTGCTCATCATCTGTCCACCGCACCCGCCGCTGAATCCAAGAAGAAGCAAACATCCGCTGCTCGCAAGAGGACGCTTTGAAACTATTTCTATCGTAGCAGTATCCAAGTAGCAAGGGTCCTATTACTATGTTACTTTATTATTTCTTGTTTCTGTATTTGAGTTGATTTGACAGACCAGGGTCCTGCAATTCGAGGCCCCAAAAACATCTATACTCCACCCTAATTTGGTTGACTTTGATTACCCTGTATTTTTCTGGGTGGATGGATTGGATTGCATTGAACAAAGATGGGAAAGTATTAAGACAACAAACAGTTGTTGAAAAGAGACTTGGCACGATTCGGAGGCATCACATGGTTAAGGGGGCATCATCGTCGTAATCTACAATGACGCTATGATACAGGTCTCAAAGGCTGCCCAGTATACTTAAGAACATAGTACTGTTACAATTCCGGTACTTGAAAGTCTAAAAGGATTCATGCATCTGATGGTGTTCAGTGCATACATTTTAAGCATCCCAGTTTCCAATTAAGGTACCAACAGACGACATTTCAAATTCATTCAACCAAATGTAATAGCAAAGTCATCTGGATTGCCCAAGCTCCATTCCCTCATGCTCCACTTGCATACAAACGGGTCCATTCTTTAGCTGCAAAACAGTTCAACAGTGGTATGCACAGTGAGAATGGAAGTCAAACGTTCGTCTTTACTTGCACAACAGCTAGAGAGCCAAATTTAGTTTCGCTCAGTACAGCCTTCATTATCACACATATTAGCAGCTCCCGGCTAGGGGCATTCCAGGTTCTTGCTCACAATGTTATCTTAGTAGGGCTGTTTCACTCGGTTTTTTCCTCAGTGAACTCGAAATTGGAAAAGCGCTTCAGCATAAAAGGACACTACCTGAATGAAAATAGAGAACTAAAAGCAATCACGAGCAGTACCTGTTTCAACAGCTTCAACTTCATTTGTCTTCCAGTGCTTGGCAATGTTCTCAGAAAGCGGATCATCAGGATTAGGAGCACTCAAGAGAGCTTGGATGCTGATTCAGAAACAAGTTCAATAGCAGTAAGACCTACCGATATCTAAAAGTGAGCATTTTGATATATAAAACCTCACACAATTTCTACTGTTCATTCATTCAATGGCATAGTTAACAAACTTCATAGGTACAGTTGAAAAAGCAAACAGAGCAAATTGGCAATCCATTCCAGATGTCACCTCAGCAGAACCGTTCGAATTTGGAGTGCTGGACTCCATTTATCCTTCAGAATATCAAGGCAAATCCTTCCAAGCTGCAAAAGTAATCATGTGCAGTAACGTTAGATATAATGACAACACAAATGAAGGTCAAACAGTGAGCGACAGGATACACACCTTATCAATGTTAGGGTGATAAATTTTGGTCAAGAAGCGAACCTGTTACAAGAAAGGACAAACTGACAGATAAACAAAAGGTGGAATGGACATACTTATAGATTAAGGCATGGCAAACCATGAAGCCCAACATCGTGTCATTTCAACAACCAAATTACTAAGAACAACAATAAAGATGTTCACCAAAAGTTTAACTAGGCGACAATGTCCACAAATTGCAAGTTCTTGTGATGAAAGATAGCGACTTATTCACAAGGAACAACACGAATCGCAATGCAACAATAGATAAGGAAGATGAAACGGCAGTTTATCCATACTTGTCGACATTTTGGGACTCCAATACCATCTCAGGCATCTAACAACAAGCCAGGAAAGCAAGGACAACGGAGACAGACTTAGTATGAGAAATGCAACAATGTTGAGATCAATCATACCATCCAAGCCTCAAGTGAATGAATAGTAACACAGCATACTCCATTTTAAGCAGACAACAAACTGTGATAAAAAAGCAAGTAGTATTCAGGAGTAAACACTACAGTACTCAATTGTCTGCCGGCATATAAAACTGGACAACAGTTGCCTCACTTAATTAGTGTACGCAAGAATGATTTATCATCACTACAACTGCTGGCAGTTCGTTCATGTAACAACTTTTTACAATGAAAATTACAGCATAAAACATGGTACAGTATCAGCTGCCTCTCGACAGATGCAACTGCCCAACAGTTGTTCACTTGATTAGACAAAAAAAAAAAAAAAGACAAAGTTAATGTTGGAGCTTAGATCATCTAAAAACCTTTGAGAAAGATGAGCAGAGCGAGAAATCTCTCTCGTTCATTTAAATTAGGTAGAGAAGCAATCATTAACAAGGATGGCATTCATTTAACACAGGTTCCGGAATACCTTGGGAGGCGCCATGGGATATTCCTCAGGTAAAAACAATTCCAACTTGAAGACACCACCTGAACATTGAAAATCAAAGAAGTATAATATGAAGCAACGTTAAAGAGCAGCCACACACCAATCACCTTCTTTTGGAATGAATTCGTAAGCAGAACCACTACCCACTAGGTGTGAAAGGCAGAATGATCTTGGAACAAGAATCTCAAAGATAACATGAACTGTCAACATATGCTTAAGAAAATGAAATGCAAAACCTTTAGTAAATGGATGGAAGAAAAAAAAAAATAGTAAGTTAGTAACATCAATGAAGAAAAGCATTCAGGAACATATCTTAACATTTGAAACACCAGGAAACAGCAATTAGTAAATAGATCATATCTGAAAGGAAATTTGGATCAACTTAAAAGTGAAGAGACAGATATAGACTGCTGTAACACCCTATTCTCCATGATTTCATATATTCCCAAAGAGAAAATATATACAGACAAGACATCATCATTAGCAAGAGAATTCAGATTTGAACCAACCTTCATAAGGAGATTGTGTTGGGCCAAGAATCATTACATTGAAGTATCGCATGTTATCTTCTGAAGGAGAAGCACTAATTCCTGGAGCTGCAGCCAAACAGTAAAGAAACCTTCATTCAAATGGGCCATTCATCATAATTGAGGAAGGGTTTATGCACATCGCATATGCAAGGAAGAAATTTTACAGTACACTAGAACAAGCCAACCATTTCCATTTATACATTATAAGTCTCTATGATAAGTCATTATTCAAGAGCTACACTTAAAACTTTAAACCCACACGTACTCACTGAGAATCCAAAGACAAAAAAGGCTCCAAAAATCGACCCTTTTGAAACAAACTTCATCACAAGGCACAACATCAATACAAGGACCCAATTTATCCTTTTCCATTCAATTGTCAGAACCCCAGTTTCTAACTGCTTCAGTCGCCTAAGCCCAAATAAGTATGGCGGAGCAAATTCCCATCTACTAGATCGGGGCGATATCAATCAACCACGTCAGGGTTTCAAATCAAAGCAGACAATCGAGATAGTCGAATGGCGACAGTACCAAAAGATCACCTAATGAGCATATCGACAAACAGCGATCAGAATGCAAAGCAAAGCAAACACCAAACCCTTCACTGATTAGTCGAGTTTATTAGAGAAGGGAGAGGAGAAAAGAAAGGCGAGAGGACACCTGGTTCGCTGAGGAGCCGCTGAGTCTCCTACACAAGCAGAAAACGAACCAAGTGATGAAAAATGGAATCAAAAGCTATAAATCATCCCAACAGCCAGAGAAGCAGACGATTGATTTCAAAGCAGCGAGAGAAAATTCAGAACAGTGCCCTACCTTGATAATTCTTCGAGGAAGATTGCTGTTTGCCATGGAAGTTTCCTTCTTCCGATCAGGTGGAATCCGAATTGAAGAGAATCAATCGAGAGAGGCGAGGGGATTGGGTCGGAAGAAGTTGGGTTTCTTGGGGACGGAATAAGTCGGGCAAAGCTGGAACGGGGATGCGTTGGTCTTCTCAAGCTGACTCCTCTCTGCAAATTGCAATTTACCAATCCGACTCTTCTTACTTTGCGTTTTCATTTCGATTCCTTTTTAATCTATTTTTCGTGATTTGCAAGCATGATGCGGCGACGTGCGGTGACGAGCGAATTCATCACCGACGAACGAAATAGCGCCATGTAGGCGTTTCGGCACCAGACTTGTTATATACTGGTCCAATGTCTACGTTTTTTCTTTTTCTTATAAAAAAAGTCGTGCTCAATCAAACCGAACAAGATTGAAGAACCAAGATCCAATTGATCGTCTGCAATATATGGACTGGGCTTTTTGCGACCAGCTATGGAAGAAAGTGGCACAGGCCGGGAACCAGGGGTGTTCAAAGTGGTTATCGTGGTAACCATTTTAATAAGTGATTTTAAAACAATCTCTCATTATACAGGATTTTAAAACAATCTTGCGTTTGGGAAGACGAGAGATTGTATGGATCAAGAATTTTGAAAACCCACATGTGTGAGATTTCAAAATAGCTGATGGAGGTCAGCTATTTCTAAATCATGCATTTTTCTTCCAATTTTTCCAATGTTGACCCTTCCTCCGTGAGACCCTTTCTTCTTCCATTTCTCCTCCTCCTTCTAATCTTTTTCCTTCTTCCTTCCGGCGAGCAGCAGCAAGCCACCAACACCAAATCCGTTTCTCATCTCCCAAATCCCATCCTTCTTATCTTCCCATCAATTTGATAAAACCAAATATGTTTCTCATCTCTCAGCTTTCACCGTCATATGCTGCTCCCTGAATATTCCGGTCAAGCAGCGGCATGGTGCCTTCCGGCGGCGATTCCAGATCCAGTCAAGCAAATGCAAGGCATCTCGGATTTATGGGTTCTCTTTCCCGGCGCGATTCTCAACCCATCCTCCGCAATTTCGCCGGATTTGTTAGCCTAAAGAAAGACGAGATTTGGGTTCTAAATATGGCTGCCGACGACCTCCTCTTGGCGGCATCAAATCCATCGTCATGATCTGGGTTTCTGGGTTGAATTAAAGCCGGAGGTCGAATCAAAGTCGTTCGAACATGAAGTTCGAATCTGGGTTGAAGCTTGAAGTTCGAATCGAACTCAGAGGTCCTTGCCGTCGGGAAAGAGTTTGAGGAGGAAGATGACGAGCAGCTTCCAGAATACCCTATCTAGCGTGCGTGGTGAGACAACGACAGACAACTGATCAGAGATGATGGTCTGGATTTTCTTTTCTGGGTTTGACGCAACTAATTTTTGGGAACGAAGATGAAGGAAGAGGGGCAAAATTGTATTTTGCATTTCTCATTAAAAACCCAGGCATATAAACAAACAAGTGATTTATTAAAATTCCTCATATTAAAAACCTAGGTTTCTTAAACGAGGGATTTTAACTCAAATCCCTCAATATTACATTCCTTGATCCAAACGACCCCAAACGAGTATTTGGAAAATTTGGTTTGGTTAATTTGGATAATTGGTTTGGTTTGATTAAACTTTTTAGCTTGTTTGGTTTAGGTGGTTTAGTTTGGTTTCAACTCCTAACTAATCAAACCAAATTAACCAGTTAAGTAATTAACCATATATGATACATTTAATATGTATTATATATACCTAATTGAGGGTGCGGATAGTATAACAACACCTTAAGTGTTGTTATACTAACAACAAGAGTATAACAGTAAAATGACAATAAAAATTCAATTAAAATATATTCATAATTGTTTGAGCCCAAACAGTTAAGCTCCAATCCGCGTCACCTCTATTCTACCCCGAGGCGCCTGGTCCACTTCCGACTCCGAAACTAGGCGCCTAGCCCAGGACTTTCACCCTACCGTCGCTTTCTCGTGCCCTCTTTAGTGAGGGAAGTGATCCTCCCCCTTTCTAGTGGGAGAAAAAGTCCCCCATAAATGTCACCTACCAGTACTATTTATACTAGCACATCCCAAGGCCCTGCTTTTACCTCTCTGCTCCACGTCAGCACGGCATTAAATGCATTGTACTTTCGTCCATGCCAGGCTCCCCGACCAGTCTGTCAGACTTTTGTCAGGTTGTAGGTGCCTCCCTTTCGGGACCACTATCAGCCTGCCCTCTCTGGTTGCGTGTCAGGACTCTTCCATTCTAGTTTGGGGCCTGGCCCGCTGGGCTTTTTCCATGATTACCTTTGGCTCATCTCACCATTTGGGCCCGTAGTCATTCCTGGGCTTAAGATTGGGCTTCACCTTCTGGCCATACCCCCAACAATTGCCCCCCAGTTAGGTGCTCAAGGCCCCTTTTTGAGCGCCTAACTACGCCTTTCCATGTTTACCCAGGCACCTCTAAGGAATGTCACCCCTTGTTATGGTACTTGCGAACCGTCAGGGTCTCTGAGCCGAGGCGCCCACAAGCCTGTGTGATCAAATGGCTCCTTACTTCCCTCCGGGCGCGCAGTCGTTTTGTAGAGATTTCCACGAACCGAGCCATCAATGTGGACGCCTTTAAGTTGCCCCCATTTTACCCGATCAAGTCCCACGCTCGTCCCCATCAGACGTGTAGACCCCTATTGGGCACTACAACTTTTTCTCAAGGCGCGTGCTTCCAAGCGCCTTGATTTTTCGGACACCATAAGTCTTTTAGGCGCCTTGCCTTACCCACTATACGCGCCCCCCTTCAAAATTCGAAATGTTTTTTTTTTCGAATTTCGAATTTTGAATGAAGAGCTCGTATGGTGACACGTGTCCATTGGCATGCAAAATGAAGCATGATACTGCCGCCCGTGACTGGTGGTATGCGCCTCCATCACCCATCGAAATGTCAACTTGCCTCTCCCAACATTGATGAGTGCATCTCCAGTTGCTAGAAAAGGTCTCCCAAGAATGAGAGGCACTCCTCGATCCTCTTCCATCTCCAGAATCACAAAATCTGTTGGGAGAATAAACTTACCCACCTTCACCAATACATTCTCCACCACTCCCTTTGGAATTTTCACTGATCGATCAGCCAATTGGAGAGTGATCCGAGTAGGCTTAAGAACATCTCCCAATCCTAATTTCTTGTAGACTGAGTATGGCATCAAATTAATTACTGCTCCAAAATCACAAAGTGATTTATCGAACTCTCTACCTCCAATGACACATGGAATGGTGAAGCTTCCTGGATCATCCCTCTTTTCTGGTAATTTATTCTGAATCAAGGCACTACATTCAGAAGTAAGGGTTACCTTCTCCAGATCAGCCCATTTGCGCTTCTTAGTCAGCAACTCCTTTAAAAATTTAGCATATGTAGGCATCTGTTCAAGTGCCTCCGCCAACGGTATATTGATATGAAGTTGCTTGAAGATATTCACAAATTTCTTGAAGTTTGGGTCTTCCATGGGCTTCATTAATCTTTGAGGGAATGGTGTGGGAGGTTCATAAGGCTTTACCTCTTCCTTCTTCAATTTTTCCACTTTTTGAGGTACACGGTCAGATTGCTTTTGCACAGGCAGATTGCATGCAGTTTGCCTGTGCAAGTCAGATTTTTCAGCTTTTGCACTTTCTTCCTCTACAGTTACTTTGCCCTCCTTTTCTACCGAATTTTTCTTGCTCTTTGGATCCTCCAACTCCTTCCCACTCCTCAATGCGACTGCTACAACCATGGCATCCTTTGGATTTCTCTCAGTATTTGCCGGTAAAGTCCCAGGAATCCTACCTTGAATATCTGCCAAAGTTTGAGCCATCTGGCCTATTTGCCTCTCCATAGCTAGCATAGATGATTGCATATTATTGTTGATGGCTAGCTGTTGAGTGACAAATTGATCAAGACCCTTGAAATTATTGTCTGTTTTCTGCATATGAGCCAAAATCAACTCCTCCAGCTGGGGCTTCTTCTCTGGTTGAGGCTGCTGCTGTTGAAAACCAGGAGGTGGATGTTTCGAACACCAGATGGATTATTATTCGACCATGACATATTGGGGTGATGTCTCCATTAAGGGTTACGTATTTGAATACATACCACATTGGCCTTGACTTCGCGGATTATTGATGTATTGGACATTTTCCAACTGAACAGCTCCCAGTGGACATAAATCCCTATGATGAGCACCTTCACATAAGTCGCAAAAAACAACCTCCTCTTGTCTACCAAGAGCCATCTTAGCCAGCCTTCGTTCGAGTGCATCGAACTTTGAATCCAGCTTAGCATCAATCTTTGCTTCTAGACTCGCAACTCTGTTTGTCTCATGCAAGCCTCCTCTTCTTCGAATACTGGTCTCACTACCCCATTCAGTGGCTTCTGAACAAATCTTCTCTACCAGATCATATCCATGCTTGTGAAACCATTTCTAGAAGCATTATTCAAGGCATCCCGAAACTCCCTTCTGATTCCATTGAAGAAAATAATGATCACGTTCCAATCTTCAAGACCATGGCTTGGGCATTTCATCAACAGCCCCTTATAGCTCTCCCATGCCTCAGTCAGACTCTCATCATCAGCCTGCTTAAAAGTTGCAATACCTTCTTGCCTCTTCATTGCCAAGGCAGGTGGGAAGTATTTATCCAGAAAGACCTTCTCAAGCTGAGCCCATGTCGTGATGGAATGTGGTGTTAAGTTCTGAAACCAATGTGATGCATTCCCTATCGGAGATAATGAGAACATCCGAAGACGAATTGCATCATCAGACACAGTTGGGCTTTTCATCGTATCACAAATGCTCGCGAACCGGCGGAGATGTCCATGAGGAACCTCGGTGCTAGCCCCTGAGAAGGTGTACCCATTAGTGATCATATTTATGAATGCTGGGGTAATCTCCATGGTTGCATCCCCAGCCGGGATGACAACACATGAAGCTCGGGCTCCAGTCCTCCGATTCAGTCGAGCCTTGATTGATTGATCCTCGTCTGCCATGATGTATGGCTCAACCTCACGAGGTGGTGGTGTCGGTGGTGTATGGACGATAGGTGATGAAGCCTGCCCTCTCTGTTGACGATTCTTGGTTAGGGAAGGCCTAGGAGTTGTGGTTGGCTGCTTCCCTAACTTGACCTGCTTCCTGTTCTGTCGGCAGGTCTTCTCGATCTCTGGATCTAGTGGCAGTAAATTGCCGGTCGTCCTCCTAGGCATGCAGGAGGAGGATAAACCTGAAAATTCTTCTGCACACTAACACCCAGATCAAAATAGTTCACTCACAAAAATCAATAAAAATAAGGTATGACAGTCCCCGGCAACGGCGCCAAAAACTTGATAGGGCAAAAGCGTAATGCCAATTCCTATCTCGTAGTAAACCGGAAAGTCCGGGTATCGTCTCTCAGGGACTGGTACAACCTTATAATCTATCAAATTTTTGAGAAAACTATAAGTGAAAATAGTTTAATGAGACTAATTAACTACTAGCAAAATTAACTAAACAAGCAAATTAAAGTGTCGGGTTTAAATAAATGGGAGAAAGCTCTGGGAGAAACACCGGGATTCACTACCTATCCTATCCAGATTAATTCACATATTCCAATCAGTTTAATCCATATCTCTACAACCAGGATATCTCTGTTGTGCTAGCTATCTCTGTCGGGAATTACTACGTACTAAACAATTAATTCAAATACTACTGTCGTAGCTCAATGAATTAACTATTTAGCCTGAAGAACGATATCCCAATCAAGACCGCATAACACCTTATTTAATCCACTGTCGCTTCGATAAGTTGCTACGTCACATGAAATAGGTTCAGTTAATAGGGTTTCACTGTCGCTAATAACCTAATTAACAACAAATCAATGTATTGGTGGCCAATCAACACAAAGCATTAAAAAATTCCATGCAATAGGGATTGGAAGAAAAGAATTATGAATCAATCCATCAAATCAAGAAATAGCTACATCCTATGGTGTTTCCCCCAGAAATCGGGGTTTAGTTCATGACGAAATTGAGATAAAACATTAGGGTTTTGTTCATCATGTTCTAAATCAATAATAAACAACTAATTCGGTTTAGAAAATGAAACCAACTAATCGCTCTCGATGAACTTAGCGCAAACTGCCTGGAAAAACTCGATCGCC